TTTCAGAGTGAATGTTTCCTCCTTACTTATACACCAGGCCCTATTTGCTTTATGTTCTTCTGTCACGCTAGAGGACCCTGTGTTTTCCATTCATATTGCCTTTTACTCTGACTCTCATCTCTTGCTACTGTGTCTGTAATCTCTTCCAAGTCGTCCTCCATCCTCAGTAAGTAGCCTGAGTGATGTTTATCAACCAAGACACTATTTTATCACGATGCCCAGCCCTTTATTATTGGCCCTCATCAGTCAGCATGGTGCGCTCCTTTAAAAGTGTAGGATCCCAGGCCTCATCTACACACAAATTCGTCGTTTCTAGTGGAGGGGCTAGGGGTCACTGTTTGTGGGAAGCAGCCCAGGTGATTCATTCTGTGCACATCTTGCCAGTTCTGGCCTGTAGGTTGACAGTGTTCAGCAACTGTGTGATCACTTCCCCAGCTGCCTGCCTGCTCTGCCTCGTCCCTACTACACATCTGCCATGGTGCTTCCTATTTGGATCTTTTCCTCTAGTCTCCTTTTATGCGAATACCGAATACCGTAGTCCCTCTAGGTCTTGGAATTTTCCCCTCTGCTAGCAGACTTCTGTTTTTCTCCTTCAAGGTCCTGCTCACTTGTTACTGTTTCTATCTCAAGTCTCCTGCGAGTTAGTCATCTCTTTGTATCTGGGCCCTTGAATGCCCTCTTGTGGTGCCTATCACCCTCAGCCATATGCTTTCCTTAGCTGTGCTGTTTGTGTCCTGCTTGAGACTACGCATGGTTACGGTGTTGGGCTCTTTTCCAGGCACCTGCTAACATTGGAGCTACAGGTAAGCTATCATCAGATTTTAGTTCTCTTAGCTGTGAATATCTGTTTTTAAATAATTCACTTCAAAAAGGAAAATTTTAAAAACAACAGTTCACTGGTTCACCTTCTTATAAAGCCTTCTAATGCTTGAAATAAACACCTTCAGACTCCAAAGAGGTATCGCAAGCCTCTTCCTTCCTTTTATTCTCATAGGGAAAAACACATTTATGGTGTTTCCTATCTTAAGAACATCCTTGAGCATGTATATTTTCACATGAGAAAGGAAGAAAGGTAGTATTCAGTTGTTTTGCTTATGTTGAATAGGTTTTCCCCATGGGAAGTCGAAGTATTTAAAGTTGGGGTCTCTTTGAGATGGCAGATTAGAAGCATGGCCTCTGAGTTACATGTGGAAATTGTGTTGTCTTCTTTTCAGGATTTCCAGTTTGCTAGGGTTTATTGCTATTCATTTTTATCCTTTTACAACTGAAATTGAGGATTGCCCCCTTTTCTGGCGCTGGCATTGGTGAGTTCATTGAGTGGAAGGGTAAATGCAGGCTGTGTGACACACACGTCTCCTTTCCTCCTCACTAATCTCAAGTGTCCTGAGTCCCCATGCAGAAGAGAGAGAGCCCTAGGCAAGGCCAGCCTGGTGCTGGCCACCATGTTAGTTGCATGGTGCTGGGACACAGTACCTCATGGCATCTGGAAGCAGAAAGCTAGGAGGAGGCAGAGTGTGGCCCTACTTCCTCCAGCCAGACTCCGCCTCTTAGCAGCACTTTCAGCTATGAACTCAGCAGTGCACTAACGGCTATAGCATCCCATGCTCCAGTCACCTTCCAAGGTGAACACATGAGGCTTCTGAGGGCCATTCCAAACCTACACCGTAACACTGTCCTTACAAACCTGTATAGATGCAGGGAACTGAGCTGTGTCAGCATGGGTGTAATCCCATCAGTCAGGGGAAGCTGAGACAAGAAGATCATCCAGGGCTCAAGGCCACCTACCAGTGAGATACTGTCTGAAAAAAGAAAAAGAAAAAGAGGCTTGTTATATAGCTCAGTGGCATAGCGCCTGCCTGACAAGTGTAAGATATTGAGTTCAGTTCCCTGTACTGAAAAAAAACCATAATGCAATTTAATGAATTTTATTAAATTAAACCTTTCTTTGAAACTTTGAAAATGTGAAACTTTCACTGCATCCTTTAAAAAAAAAATCTCACTTGGAGTTCTACTGTACCAGCATCCATGCTTCCTTCCGTTCTGTTCTGGGTACCTGGGCTCCTCTTGGCCGTGCTGGGATGCCCTTCCTACCTGACACGTGCATCAGCACTGCTCCTTTTTGTTCCACGCAGTCAGCATCTCTCCTTTTCGTTTCCTCCAGGGCTGGCTTGGTTAATGGCAAACACATCACTTATTATATAGAAGGCTTCATGCTTCTTTCTCTCTGCCTCCCACCTGCCGATGAGCTGCGGTGGTCTTCTGCCATAGTCCTTCCTCCCAGAGGTCTAGCTGGGGCATGGACTGTCAACCAGATTCCCAGCATCCACCTGCCCAGTCTTTGAGACACTCTTTAGCCTTTCTGGCCTTCGTTTCTTGAACAATTAAGCGAAGATGAGAATAAAGGTGTTTACCTCACCAGGTGTCAGGTGAGTTATTACATGGGAATCATGAGAAAAGTGCTTAGCAAATAGTAAACACCCAATAAATGTCAGTGGTGAGTGATACTCAGATTATTGCTGTTGTTAGCTTTCGTTCATAGAGAATAGGAACTGTTCTTCCTAAAGCATCAATCAGATGTATTTCCTACCTTAGCTTCGCACCTCCAGCCACCCAGTGTAGCTCTCTTCTCTCTGGATGGACGACCCTACTTACTTGGCTCCCTTGCCAATCCTTGTCTTCCACGCTGGCCAGCTGCAGCAGGTACCACCCCCTAAGCGGCACCTCTGGCCACCCCCCCTTGGGTGTGGCCTGTTTGCTCAAATGGCAGCACCTTGGAACTGACTTCTGCCCTCATGGTGTCTTAGAGTATCATGCTGCCATTGTCTGTAACCTTATTCAGTTTTCTTTCGTGGCTCATGAAAAGGTGACTTCCTGCTACTGAACATTGTAGTACATGTGTTTATTGAACTACATTTTGTAATAAGTGAAAGCAAGCAACTTTGTCTGTTTTCACCATTCTCACCCACATCCCAACCTGGACATAGTAGGTCTCAAGACGGATTTGCTAAGTGGGTAGATGGAATGGATAGGGAGAACTGGAGAAGGGTTTCCCTTTCTTCTCAGCACCAGCTGTGCCAGTATCAGGTCATCAGAAGAGCCACTGTACCTTGTGAGGTGAGACGATGTAGGGAGAAATTCGAAGTCTGGGAGTTTTCCTCTCCTCCTTAACTTGCCATGCTTTCCCTGGGTCAGGCACCTGAGTTAACTCTGACAAATTGGTTGCCCCTTGTGGTTTTTATCCAAGCCCTACTCTGTGCACCTTTCTTTGGCAGCTGATGATGGAATCACTTGGGATATCATTCATGAAATATGTTATACTACTCCATGTCTGCCATCTCCTGGCCTTGCCGTACCCCAGTGTTAGAAGAAGCAGCAGCCTGTTAGGCTACCTTGAGTTAGAAAAAAATACATCCTGGAAGGTCACCAAGAAGTCTGTTTTTCTAAAAAGCAAGTCAGGGTGCCTAAGGCAACCAGATTCTTTTCTTTTTAGGGATACAGCTATAAACCGGGTGTGGAGTACACACCTAGAATCTTAGCACTGTGGGAGACTTAGGTAAGAGGACTGAAAGTTTAAGCCTAGCCCAAGCAACTTAGGCTCTGTATCAAGGAAAAAGGTTGAAGTTGTGGCTTAGGATGCAGGTCCTGAGTTCAATCCCCAGTACCACAAAGGAAAAAAGAATGAAAGTTTAAAATGCTTCCTCGTGCCTGATATGGAACCACAGAGTCACTGTTTTTCTGATCAATTGAACGTGAATTTTAAAAGTTAGCATTAGTCACTTATCTTAATATATTATGGAAAAGTAATTTAATGTTTGATAGATTTATGTGGATTCGTTGACTTTAATACATGGAGAAGCAAAGGATTTCAAGAGTAATTGGCAGTGTTGAACATCTTTGTTGTTGTTTTCTTCCCTGGGAGGTTTCATTTTTGTTTCTGTTTTGGAAACAGGGTCTTGTTATGTGTCTCAGGCTGGCCTTGAACTCTCTATGTAGCCTGGACTGGCCTCAGTAGTGATCCCCTGCCTCTCAAGTGCTGAGATTATGGGCTTGGGAATGTTTTAAATCAGCCCTGCCATTTCAGTTGATCACAAAGCACACAAGCCTATATGCTGTAAATGACTTTGTGCTTTGAATTGGGGTTCCCTCATCCTCTCCATGCTTAATATCTAGCAGTCTTTTGAACCCTGTCTTACAGGTTGACCAAAAGCATGTTTTTCTCCCCTAATTTAAAGAGGGGTTCACACACCTGTAATCCTCGCACTCAGGAGGCTGAGAAAGGATTGCTGAGAGTTTGAAGCCAGCCTGCACTACAGAATAAGACCCTGTGTCCAAAAGTGGGGAGGGGGGATTGTCACATACTCATTTTTTAGTCTTTTTAAAAATCACAAACAGTCAAAGAGTTGATTTGGAGTTATCCATCTAAACTATGCTGATCCTCACTGGGGGTAGAGCTCAGTGGTAGAGCACTTGGATAGCATGATAGCCCTGGGTTCCATCCCCTGTACTGCAGATAGCTGATGAAAGATGTTCATCCTCGACGATGGCTTTTAGAAGGCATCAGGTGGTGTCTGGGGCTGCTCCATTCTCCAGCATGGGCCATTGATGTCCTGAATAGGGAGAGAGATTCTCTGTGGAGCAGGATAGAAATTCTCCTGACCTTGACCTTCAGAGAATGTGAAGATCCAGTGATCCAGCTGATCCAAATCTTTGCTGTTTCAAAGCAAGGTGCTGACTTGTGGCCACCCAGGGCCCACAGCTGTGCTGCTTCCTTAGTCACTGCTCAGCTGAAGTCCCAGGCCCTGCGCTGTCTCTCACTGTCCTGCTTCCTTACACATGTCAGCACAGAATAGCTTTCCAGCTTCCCGCCTGCCATGTGATTCTGTTAGAGAGAAGAATGTGAGCGAGTACGTCAGAGTAGCCAAAGTCCACAGCTGTTTTTATACACTGCTGTTCTCCCTTCCTCCACACACAGACTTTAAAAATCCTTGTTGTTGTTGCAGGCCATGGTTGCTTGTTACCCAGGCAATGGAACAGGTTATGTTCGTCACGTGGATAATCCAAATGGAGATGGAAGATGTGTGACATGTATATATTATCTAAATAAAGACTGGGATGCCAAGGTAGGCAGCTCAATCGAGCATTTATGTCTTTTTCTCATGGGTTTTGTATTCTCACAAATACTAAGATTCATACTTCCAATGTAAGACGAGACTATCTTTAACACTTGGAAAAATTTAAATTCTCTCAGATGTTTTTAGGGGTATTGGGGTAGGTCTTTATAAAATAAATAAACACTGAGCCAGGCATGGTGGTTCACACCCGCCATCTCAGCACTTGGGAGACGGAAGGAGATGGGAGGATCACAGGTAGTTTGAGGCCAACCTGAGCTATACAAGAGTTGCCAGCCTGAACTCACAGCAAGACCCAGTCTCATAAATAAATAAATGCATACATAGTAATATACTTGAAAACAAATACAGTACCAACATACTGAAACAAATAACTAATGTATCATGTACAGCAGTGTGAGATACCAGCGGGTAACAGGATGGTGTTGTGCACTTGAAAATTTAAGGGGGTAGATCTTGTGTTCAGCATTCTAACCATCAAGAAAAGGAGAGGGGCTCGAGGATGTAGGGATCTCTGGAAGGTGACAATGTGCTTTTCATCTTGATTGTGGTGATTAGTGGTTTCACAAGCTTGTGCATAATACTGCCTAAGCACATTATTACAATCAGTTTTTAATTTTTAACTAAAATCATACTAATCTGTTATGTGCATTGGGTTCAAGGTGAATTACCAGATTTCTCTACATTCTGAAAGCTCTAGAATCCGAAAAATCCTGCTTGTTGGCATAAAGCTTGAGGATCTACCCAAGAGTCAACTGTCTTGTTATGGTTGATACATTGTGTCAACTTGAGAAGTTTAATAGATTCAGGGAGCCAGAGTGTTTACTTTGTCAGTCTCCTCATGGTGTACAAGAGGAGAGCACAGATTTTATATATCATCAGCAGGCAGAAGTAAAATGTGTTTTCAGAACTCTCAAGCATCATTTTTGAACTTTTTGAATTCAGACAATATTTATTCATTATGTATTTACAGAAATCTCTGAAGCAAAATAAATGATTTTTTCGTTGCATCGGAGCATGTAATTGGGTTATTTTTTTTTTTTAAGTTTTGTTTTTTGTTTTTTTGAAGCAGGGATCTCACTATGTAGTCCATGCCATGGACTACAGGGATCTCACTATGTAGTCCATGCCTTGAATTCACTGTATGGTCCAGGATGGCTTCAAACTCAAGATGATACTCCTGCCTCAGTCTCCTGTGTGCTGGGATTACAGGCATGTACCGCCATGTTCAGCCCAGAATACTTAAAATAACAACTCACAGAGAGGCTGGGGCAGGTGGTTCGCAAGTTCAAACCCAGGCTGAGCAATTTGATTTAGTGAGACCCTATCTCAGAATTAAAAAGGAGGAGGATGTAGCTCAGTGCAAAGGCTCTGAGTTCCATTCCCATATTGCAAAAAAAGAAAAATATCAACTCATCATAATACTGTGTTGAGATATTAATACTCCAATTAAGAATTTTCATTCATTGAAATAGTGTTTTCCTCTTTAACTTGAACCTTGTAGCAGTTTTGCTTGCTTGTGCGTACATATTTGGCTCTTTTCCTAGGTAAGTGGAGGTATACTTCGAATATTTCCAGAAGGCAAAGCCCAGTTTGCTGACATTGAACCCAAATTTGATAGACTGCTGTTTTTCTGGTCTGACCGTCGCAACCCTCATGAAGTACAACCAGCATATGCCACAAGGTAGTATTCGTTTATGTAAATTTGGTTAAGTGGATGGTGGGATGGGAATGTAGATTGTAGGTGGTGTAGGAGGCACTTTCCTGCTACTGGGACAAAGTAGCAAATGCTGCCGACTTCGGGAGGAGACGTTTATTTGGCTCACAGTTTCAGTGTTTAGTCCATTGTGGTTGGTTAGCTGGCTGCAAGGCAGAAGCAGCATGGTGCAAGGGCCTGGCAGAGAAAAACCACCCACTTCATGGTGGCCAAGAAGCAGAGAGAAGGGAGAACTGGGGACAAGAACGCACCCTTCCAGGTCACAGCCACAGTGACCACCTCCAACCAGGGCCCCATCCTAACAGTACATTCAGCTGTGAATCGATGGATTGATCCACTGATACGCATGGCAACCCCATGATCCAGTCTCCTTTCCAGAACCCAGCCTCTGGAGGCATGAAATCAGAGGATAGTCTAGGATCCAAAGCACACACCTGCCTGATGTGCTAGGGTGGCAGAGATTGCGGATGGACTGACAGCTTCACAGTTGTCTGCATTTGGGCGAGTTGTCAGTCCCTCTCGCCACCAGTGCTTCCTCCCAGCCCCTGCCCCTTGTGCCGTGTATCTGTTAGCTCTTTCCCAGTCCATGGATTTTCCTTGGAAGTAGAAAGGTAAAGAAAGAGGACCAGGAATATAGCTCACGAGCACAGTACCTGCCTGGCAAATATGAGGTTGTCAGTTCGATCCCTGGTACCAAAAAAAAGGTAAAGAAGGATCCTTAAAAGGTAGTAAGGATTGGTACTGTGGAAAAATGGATGCAGAGTAGAAAATAAAGGATAACCAGGGGCAGCAGTGAGGAGAAATAGAGGAAGGAAGAGGAGGATAGGCTGCCAAGGATGAGGGGTGTTGGGAAAATCACCTTGTTCCTGGGCTCAGCCTCAGTTTCATTAAACTTCGGTTCAAGATGTAATAGTGCAAACAGTTATGATACTACTTGCTTTTGAATTTTGCTTTTACCATTTATGATGACTTGAGATTAAAATGTTTAGGCAGAAGGTATTGCAGACGTTGTTAGGAACATAAGTACTTGTCAGAAACAGCCCCGTTTTCTAGGCACCAATCTGTGTTTAGAAGAAAGCTTGGGGTGCTAAGTGTGTGCTGCAGCACTGGCTGCTGTACCTGGTGGAGGGGCCATGGGGGCACAGGCTGAGCAGAGCTGCAGGAGTTCCCACTGGCATCTGAGGCAGCAGGTGGGGACCAGGCTCCCAGGCGACACTGTCCGCTCTCCACCTTTTCCCTGCCTTCTGAGCCACCACCCTAACGCACAAAGTGGTAGCACACTGAGCTGTCTGTGGCTAGAGCACTTAGGATCCCTCAAATGCACATCAGGTGACCAGGTCAAGTCATGCCCTGGGCCATTTGGGGTCCCCTCTCACCTCAGGGGTTCCCTTGCTACTTCTGACCCAGAAACTACTGCACAGCTTTCCTTTGGATGCTGGCCTGAGCCTGGCTTGGTTGTAGCCTTCTAGATGAAGATGTGCTGGTCATCTTGGGGTGATGAACTCAGGCCAGTGGGTTGTGGTGAAGAGAGGACAACGGTAGATAGCGGAGTCACGGTGAGGGTGTTGGTGAGAAAGGACTCTGGAAGCCAGGCTGCAGGAGATGGGCTGGAAAGCTGGACCTTCCAGGAGCTATGGCGCATGCCCTGACTGCCTTGGGTTCAGAGGAGCCATCTGTGTATCTGACTCTTCCGCCTATAAAGTGAGGGTTTGTGACATGGCGAGGAAATAAAGTGCAATGCACCTTAACCCTTTCCTGCTAGTGAGAAAAGAATTGGCTCAGTGGCAGGAAAGGTGGGGGCACCTTGAGAAGCACAGTGTGGCTGTCAGGGCGCCTGCCAGGCCCTGTGCTCCTCAGCGCCCTCGAGGTGTGCTGGGTCTGCTGTGCCCTTGACGCCTCAGCACAGCTCACCTGGGGCCACTTGCCGCCTCACTTGGCCTGCGTTGCTTTTTCCTGTAAACACTGACTGGAGCCCACAAGATACTTAATGAACTGCTGCAGTCTTGCAGAACTGGGCCAGGAAGTTCACTTCCCCTTTTGTTCTGGACACTTTTCCTCCTGCTGCATCAGGGCTCACTGTGCTTTATGGCACCTAATAAAGCAGGTCACCTCATAGGTTTGTGGAATAAGGTGGTCCAGCTAAGTGAAATGATTCAGAGAAGTGAAGCTTAGACCAACTCTAAGCTAGTATCGCCATCTTAATAAAAACTCTGAAAACTACTTAGTATAGTGCAACTCTTCCTTGATGACTCTGGCTTATTCTACACTGTTACCCTTCCCTCTGACTTGGGGCATCCTCAGAAGCTACAGGATGCTGGCCTCCCCTGCCTGCAGCTCGTCACCTGTTGCTTCTCTGCTGCTTTGCCGTTGTTGATATGGTCCTTTCTCCTCTACTGCCCGTTTCTGCACGAGGAAGACCTAGGCTGGCTAGGTGTTCAGAAAGGCATAAAGACTGGTCCCCTGGCTAGCGTCAGTGTGGGCCTCTCCCAGGCCTCTGCTGTGTGTGTCACTCTGAGGCTGTGGGTGAGTGAGTTCTTCCCGGGCTCATTTGCCCTCTGATATGTTTCCAGTCTAGCCATGTTGGGGACATTTACAGGTTTAACATACCATCATGACACCAAGCCACTCTCTCCCCAGCATGATCGTTCTTATGCTATTCTAAATTTTCTTTTAGGTACGCAATAACTGTTTGGTATTTTGATGCAGATGAGCGAGCACGAGCTAAAGTAAAATATCTAACAGGTAAACACCGTTTGGGGCCAGGGCAGACTGGAACAAAGATACCCTGCCATCTTGAGGTGCTTTCAGAAAACCTAGTACAGAGAGACTTGTCAACATAGGGTCACAAGCTGGGCATGGTGGTGCACACCTATAATCCCAGCACTGGGAAGGCTGAGGAGGCTGAGGCAGGAGGATCGCCTTGCGTTTGAGGCCAGCTTGGGCTACAAAATGAGTTCAAGTCCAGACTGAACTACAGTATGAGGCCCCGTCTTAAAACAAAGCAAAACAAAACAAAGCATCAAGTCATTCCATATTTCATCAGATTCCTTAATTACTGTGTTTAGAAAAGAATTTTTCTTAAGTCATCTTCACTATTAATGTTTCACGGAGGAAACTGTCCAAAGGTTAGAAAAGTTGGAGGCAAAGAGGCCTGAATACATTACTCAAATACAAGCTGAGTTGTTCTGTGATTGTCCCTACCAACCTTGGCTCCTCGACTCCCAGGTAAACCTGAGAAGAAAGTAACTGTCCTTTCCTTTCTAACCACACACCCTCCAGGGACACGTTGATATGGAGAAAATTCATGCACAAGAGGTGACTTGAAACACCCCAGGCAGTGCCTCACACGGGCACCTTGAGTCCTCTGGTATGCGTAGGCTCATGCGCTTGGACTGACCCTGTGTGTCCCTCAGCTGATGGACCAGTCACCTGGCTTTCCTTTCCCCTTGCCTTATCTCTAGATGACTGCTCAGTGTTCATGTTACTGATTGACTCTATTTTCCTAAGCCATTGGTAATCCAGTGTCAGCCTTTCATAGAAATACAAAGTATGCATACATTTTCTGTGTATAGTCAGCCATTAGGTGTGGGCTTCCAGTGACACTGAACACTGTTACTTTAAAGAAGCCCAGATTGCTTTTCCAAGAGGCAAAATCATTATCTCTTTGTAGAGAGCCTAGTTCTGAGGAAAGCACCTGTCACAGGCCTAGTTCAAGGGTGGTGTGGGCAGGGCCCATGGGACAGGCTGTGATGCTGTCTCCAGTGCTGGGAACACTACGGGACACGGTGGCTGTGTGGGGCTTAGCAAATGAATGCATGCTTTCCCTTGCAGGTGAAAAAGGTGTGAGGGTGGAGCTCAACAAGCCTTCAGACTCGGTCAGTAAGGATGCCTAGTGTGGCTCGTGGCCCAGCAACACTCCTCATGGACTCTGGGCGCTGCCTGTTAGCATGTGGACATGAAGGAAGGGGCGAGGCGGCGCGGGTCGGACAGCACTCCACCAGGGACAGAGCCAGCTTGCCCGGCTCAGCGCGCAGAAGACCGCCGCTCGGCCGGCCGGCTGCGATCTGGGATGGCTGACAGGAAGAGGAGACGTATCGAGGGAAAATGGCTTTTCTATCTGGACCTGAAATAAGTGCCCTACATAGAATTTTTTCATTCTTATATTTTGCCAGATCTGTCATCTAGCTGAGTTCATTTCATGTCTTTTTTATATCAAATTTGAATTTGGGATAATTTTTGTACGATTAGGTACAGTTTATCAAAAACTGAATTGAGAAAAAAATTACAGTATTATTCCTCAAAATAACATCTATCTATTTTTGTAAACCTCTTCGTACTATTAAATTTTGCCCTAAAAGACATCTTACAATGATTGTTGCCAGTAACTGACGACTGATTTTCTTCTGACTTAAAGGAGCACTTTAAGAACCAACTGAAAACTCAGATTGTTTTGTTGTCCTGTCTTACACTAATTGAACTCTTTAAAGATTGCTGCTGTCATGTTTTTGGCATTGTTAAAAATGAAACCTAATAGTAAAACAAGAAAAAATACACAGAAGGGTTTAATCTTTTAAGTTAAAAAACCAAAAAAACTAAAATGACTGTAGTAAATGAGTTTGAGGTTGCCCTTGGCATCAAGTTCCTAAAATTAAGGGCTTTCTTCCGTTTTCAGTTGTCTCCCCTAGTTGTAGACATAATGTCCCAATTGAAGGCATTTCCTTTTGCTTCTCCTCAATGAACTGTATACTTCCAAATTTATTGCTGCATTTTTTCCCTTGGTCCTGGGCTCCATCTGATCTGCAGATCAGAACCTTATTTCTGCTACAGAGTGTCCAGGGGAGAGGGCAGAGCAGTGAAACAGACACAGAGGTGTAGACTCGCATCCCTGGCTCCTCAGACAGCTGCGCAGCGTCTCCTCACGTGACGCGGCCTTCTGACCAGTGCTGAAAGATGTATGTTTAGCTTAGAAAAACAAAGTGTAAAACCAGATATTTTATTTTTATGTTCTTTGGATCTTCTTTTTTACTTTTTAGAAAAGAGGGACTATTACACAATCACATAGGCCTCCCAGACTTCTGATATTTAAAAAACAAATCAGAGCTGGGAATAGTGGTACATGCCTACAATCTCAGCATTATGGGAAGATTGCAAGTTCAAGCCCAGTGTGGACAACTTAGTGATTCAGCAAGATCATGTCTCAAAAAATATAAAGGGCTGGGAGGTAGCTCAGTGTGAAGGCCCGGAGTTCTGTCCCCAGTACTGCAAAAAACACAAACCTGAGTCGGGATGGACATCATACGCTTCATTTCTGTAGGCTTTGCAGCAAGGCCTGAGGGTGGTCCCCATATTTTGTATGAATTATGGGTGTAAGACCTGCCCCCTTGGGTTTTCTGTCTCTGTCCTGATCTTCTTTGCCAAAATGTGAGTATATAGTTATTTCTGTATACTTCAACTTAGGACAGTTTCAGCATCTGTATAGTTTTTATTCAATTAGAGACCTTTTCTATGGAAAGCTCAGTAATTTTTATTAAAAGATTGCTATTGTTCATGTAAAACATGAAAAAAAATTGAGCCTGATAATGAACTTAGGGGTGGATATTCAGTACTGGGATCTCACTTAGGGGACTTGCAGAAAGCTCAGTTGTCTTCCTTGCCCATGTTCAGGTCTGCTGTGTGTCCTCTCTTTCTCTCCAGATGCTCAGCGACACCTCGCCAGTAAGTGCCTCTGCTGCCTGACCTGGGAGCACAAGGCTTTGCCACCTGGTCTGCAGCGCGGTGTGCTGCATCAGGCCACAGCTCGAAAGCACTATCGTTTCTAGGGTTTGTAGGAATCGTTTTGTGTTGGTGGGAGGTTTGTTTGATTGTCAGGATGTACAGCAACAACCCTTCACTTTGGGAGCTCCTGTGCCACCCAGATGTTTACCTCTGCAGGTGCACAAAGTATCTCTCCATACTGTCCCTGGTTGTGACAGGTCTTACTTACATTGTGTATTTTTTGGAGTTTGTGTATCTTCTTGGAAGTCATTGTGAAAAGATCCAGAAATCAGGACAGCCATTTCTTTAATATCCATTTAAAATCTATTCATTTCATGTTAGTGGGACCGTTAACTTGTCACCAAGCAAGACTATTTAAAACAAAATTTAAAACTATTTGTGGCCTATACGTGTTAATCCTGGTTAAAGATGAAGCTTCATAATACTGTTTTTATTCAACACATTAACCAGCTATAAAACACAGACTTTATCAGTAGCAGGCAAAGAATTTCAAGACAGACTAAAGTCATGTAATTTGAAAAGCAGTGTTTCCTTATGAAAGAGCTCAAGTTGCTTGTAAAGCTAATCTAATTAAAAAGATGTATAATTGTTCTTGAAACATTATGGTTATGGTTATTTCCAGCTGTCGTTTTTTGTTTGTTTTTTAACCTGCTGTCATGCACTGATTGTCATCATAGGCCCTTTGACCAGTTGCTGTGCTTGTGTCACACATCTCTGGCTTAATCCAGACATGCGGTATTGCTTTTTGTAAATGACAACAGGTGGGAGAGAGAGAACAGTTAGACATAGGCGTCCCCGGGGGAATGTCCTCTGGGTACACCTGTGGACACTCCCACGGGGACTTTTAGCATTTGCCATCTTGTCCTTATAGTAAAGTTATTTAATGCGCAGAGCTATTGTGTGTGTACCACATGTGCTGCGGAAGGGGCACGGCACTTGTTTTTGGGGTAACAGGCGTGTGCAGGAAAGTTTCATGTAAAAGTTCCTATTGTAAGATTAATATGCATGTTTCTGTATCTTTAAAATATTTTTAATGTAGTGTTTGAATGTTTTGGCCTATTTAAGGCATTTGGAGAACTGTACTGAAACACTGCTATGGACTGAAGGAGGACAAATAAGCTAGAAATGAAGACTAAATTAGGTGATAAAATAAAGAGAGCACAGAACTGACAAATCTGTTGAGTTGTGGCTCAGCCCCTTTAATTGTGTGACCTTCTGAGCCTTTTCTGAAAATAAGCAACCCTAAAGATATCTATGAACCCTACATGGCCTGGTATGTGGGGTCCCTGACTGTGTGTGAAACAGGCAGGTGTTGGACAGGTGCGCCCCCCGTTCTCTGGCAGCGTGACTGCAGGGGAAGCTGAGCCGGTAGTCCTGCAGAGCTCATGGTTTTATCGGGTGTTTGCTTACCAGTGATAGGTCTTTATATCTTGGATTTAATCATGGAGACAAGGTGCTCTTCTCAAAATGCATGTGGTCCAAAATGAGAGTTATATTCTGGGTTACACTGCACTGGTCTGTATTTATACCTCATACCTAATAATTACATACTTTTTAAATTTATAAACGTGCAGAAGTACTTATCCAGTCTCAGTTGCTTCAAGGATGTTTTGGGACATCCTTGAAGAGGTGTTTTGTACCTCTTAGGTTATGGGTGCAGCCCTTGGGTTTTGCGTGATCTGATGCACATTCAGTTTGTGATCACCCGAAATAGTGTGTCACCTGAAATAGTGATGGCCCTGATACCCACTAGGCCATGAGATGTCAGAGGGTGCATGCATGAGCTGGGGATGGCATCCTAGCAGAGCCCATGGGTAGAAGCCTCCGCATCAGGTAGAGACAGCCATGCAGCTGCAGGGTGTCCCCCATGGGGTTGTCAACTTGGGCAAGATGTCATAGGGTCAGAGACTGGAGGAGGCCTCAACTCACAGAGACTGGGACTTGGGTGAAGGTGCGCCATTCCTGTGATGTATGGAAAACCCATACATATCTTTATTCCAAATATACAGAACAGGAAGAGCAGATTTCATCTCCTTTCACAATTAGGGTCAGAAAGTAACTTGCAGCTTGGTGGTGGCAGGTGCCAGGATGGGAACCTCCAGATTTAAAGAAAAGTGCCAAAAGACAAATACTTCCACATTCTTCTCAAAAGAAAACAAGTTTCAGCTCCTCAACAGTTCCTTGGGTCCTGGATTTCCAGGACTAGGCTTTATCTGCTAACTTGCTACCCAGGCCAGGAGGGTGTAGGGTTCCCTTCCCTCCCAGTGTTGGGTCTCCATTTTCTTGACCATGTGTCCTCTCTTGGCTTACTTCTTCATGGGGTGGCACATGCCTCTTAATACTTCCTGCCAGTGTGAGTGGCTGGTAAACGTTGGCACACTAGTATCTGTTTTGCCATCACATTTAGTTGGTAACTTGGCTGAGTATAGAACTTGAGTTTACATCTCACCGTCCTCTGATTTTGAAAGCATTGCCTCACTGGTGGTTCCTGTGTGTGGATGCCAAGAAATCACCCTGATTCTTTACATGTGACCTGCTTTTTTCTCTGAGGAAGGTTTCAGAATATCCCCATCGCCGGAGCTGTAGTTTCCCAGCGGGCTGTAATGTATGCGTATTCTCAGCTGCAGCAAAGCCACGCCCCGTTTGGGGGCATCTCTTGGTTTACTTATCACTTCCGTCCTCCATTCTTTGCTCTTTGTGGGGCTCCTGTTACTCAGCTCTGTGGACAGCCTGTCTACTAGTTTAAACCTGACCCGACTGACCAGTCACTGTGGATCTCGGTCTTTGCTTTGGGGACATTAATTTTCCCGTAGCAGTTAGAGCTTCAGGTCTGCTAAAATGAGTTTAATTCTCAAGAGCTTTTGTTTTCTACTTTTTAAAAAAGCAAACTGTTCGTCTTAATAGTAGGAAAATTTATTAGGGAATAGGAATAGCACCTAAGAGACAGGAGAGTCCTGAACGCGTTGCCCTCACCATTTTAACTTGTCTTTTCGTGTGAGTTTCCCTTATTGCCTGGTGTCCCTGCCTGTGTGTTCCTGTGTAGGAGAGAAGCTCCGGGGCTCCTGGCTGTCCTGAGGGTCTGTGCTGCTACCTCAATTTAAGTCTCTGTTCTCATCTTCCAAAACCATACGGAGAACAAGGTCACCCATTGCCTGTGCCTGTGCCAGAACTGAGAGCCACAGGGAAGCCAGCCTCTTAGACACAGCAGGGAGTGACACTAACTCGAGCCGGTCAGGGCCTGTGTGTCCCGACACCAGGCTGAGGTGTGGCTCAGCAGCAAGAGTGTGCGCCCAGTTCACACCAGGTTCCATACCCAACACCTGGAGGAAGAGTAGTGTGAAGGTGGGAGAGAGCATATGGCAAAGAGTGGCAGGAGGGACTTAGCAGTGGCAATACACAGGGAAGAAGACGCGCCCCTCTGTGCATGATGCCAGTCCTGGGGCCTCTGACACCAGTGTGTAGAGTGCTGGGTGCCACAAGGACACCCAGAGGCAGATCGAAGTTCACCAAGTTAGAGATGGCCGCCTGGAGAAGGTGCTGGTCTTGGAGAGGATATGCTATCTCTCTTTGATGGCAAAGTGAAAGAAGGAAGCAAGGGTCTTACAGAGGGAAAAGTACAGAATTAGAGGAGATTGCACCCTCCATTTATCAAAATAGCTCACTTGCAGAAACAGTGCCACCTCTGGAAACACTCTTGTGTCCATCAGCAGAACACACTGACTTGGGTCCAGTGTACTACGAAGCCACCTTGCCACACTTGTAAACATCTGGCTGCTTGTGCAAGACAAGGAAATCATCTTCACAAAATGAGCAAAAAAAAAGGAAGAAAACATCTGTAAATACAAAATGAGGATCAGTTATAGTTGATGAAAATTCTGAACTATAAAGCAGAACATAATATTCAGTCTCAGTTCAGCAAACAAATTGAAAATGGCAAAATTACTTCAAATGGAAATTAAGCTACAAGATGCCCAAGAAAGAATAATCTTTTTCTTTTTTAATAGGTTCTCAATGTATAGTTCAGGCTGGACTTAAACTTGCTGTGTAACCCATCCTGCCCTTGAACTTATGACAACCTTCCTGCCTCAGCCTCCTGAGGGATGGAACTAAGGGTATGTGCCATCACACTCGGCCAAAGGTTCAATTTTAAATACAATGAATAGCATGGAAAAAGAAGCAATGAAGAGAACAAAATAGTTGGGCAGGGTTAGGAAGCAGAGCAGACACATGTGCACTGTGACATGCCTCCACGGCAGTGTAGGCATGCAGAGATGTGGACACTTCCCATCAGGTTAAGACACTGAATGGACCCTTGACAGCAGACCCATCATGGGGACCGTGTATGTGCTTGGTGCCAAGACTGTAACTACGGTCAGTCCCGGCTTATCTTTATAAATGAAACCACTGAGATGTTTGTATGTATGCACGTGAATTTATGGAGCTATTTTACACATAAAAAAACTCCTGGAATCTCATTTGAAAAAAACTTTTTTTCATGTAAATCCAGATTTCCATATAGTTTGAAGGAATACTTGTAACCCAAACAAGATTTTGCTTTTAGGGTCTCCTAGCTTGAAATACACCTCCACTCTTCCAAGAGGTACACAGAACTGTCAGTGTTTTGTTTTTGCAGTTGGGTAGGGAACTGGAACTTAAGAAACACTTGCATTTCATTCATTCTCACCAGGAATCCAGAAGGCCACTGTTGCTCTCTCAGGCCTCTGAAGAAGGGCAAGGGACACTTATGTCCTTCAGATTACCAGGACTGGCCAGAGCAAGGAGAGTGTTACAGCCGGGCAGAGAGGGCAGTGTGATTTAAGGAACAGATGAGCACACTCATATTGAGTCACACTTGTTCAGCCACATTGTGGGGTGAGTTTTCCCTACACAGGCTGTGATGCTGGTAATGGAGTGAAGGGTGGCATGTGCAAGCCGGGGGGGGGGCGGGGGGAGGAGGTGACAGTGCCTAGACCTTCTTGACCTCTGCTGCCTCGCACAGGGCTGAGATGCTGGTCCAGTCTAGTCTCTTTTAAGCTTGCTTCCCCTTCAGTTTTTCAGATTTCCCCCACCAGGTGCGCCACCTGGTGGCAGTAAGTATGAGGCAAGTGGGGTAGGCATAGCGGCCCTTAAACTGCATTCTGGCCACTGAAGGTCCTCATGTTTCTTACTTTGCGTCCCAAAAGGTACATGATGAAGTGTGACCATATAACTCCTAATGCTAGTGATAAATTAGAAAAAATAAATCAGAGCTAACATCCACATTGCATCCTGTCCTAATTTCAGCTGTCAATGTTAAGAATTTCACTTCATCTGATGGATGTGTGGGTGATCGGTGACAACCTACCATGAAGGCGACAAGTCTCAAGGACAAAAATGTTGAGAGTAAGAAAAAGATCAAACCACTGGCTCTTGGTAAGCACCAGGATCCATACACAGTAATAGAAACCAACACTGTACATGGTCTTCCATCAACTTTCACATTGAAACATTTTATTTAAAAATCCCTTAGGCTTTGGAACAAATAGTTTCTGCTGTGATACAACAGGAGGTTATGAGGGTTTTGTCCTATTTTGCCATCTAACTTGGAATTTCTAGTTAGGATATGTACTTATAGTCTACAAAAGCAAAACAAGGTTTTTTGAAGTTTTGCTAGGGAGTGTAAAACCCTGACTTAAAACACTGGGTTTCCATAGAAACAGTCTCCCTGTCATCTCAAAAGGAGGGGCTAGAATCACCAGCTCTGCCATTAAAGTCAGTAAGTTTGCTCTAAAGGGGAAAAATGCAAGAAAAACAGAACTACAGTGTGATTCAGATTTTGGAGGAGTAACCATTCTTAGGGTAAAAATTTTCCACACATCATTTCCCTTTTCCTGCCAGCTACCAGGAGTCCCTCTCATCCCAACTGCACCTTTATGCTTCCCCCACCGTCTGCCCTGGAACTTGGCGGCAGGGTGGCTGCCATGTGAGCCTTGCCCAGCGGGACCTGAGTCACCAGGTGCTCTCCATCAGGACTCCCTCAAACCCCGGCAGGCCAGGTCGGTCCTGCTGCAGCCTTTCTCCCTCTGCCCATCATGCCTTGCGTCTTATCCACACTTCCTTACAGCTTCTAGTCCCTTGCCTGTGTGTGCTTTGGTAGGTCCTCCCCACCCTTTGCCACCTAACTGCACTCCCCAATGATTTGAGGCAGGGTCTCCTCCAGGTCCATCCCCTGATGTCATTGTCTGTCCTCAGCATCACATAGAAACCCTGTCACAGTGCTCACCAACCCACTCTGAGGTTCATCAGCTTGCCTCTCCAGCGAGGCTGGCTGTCACTCTCCCTACAGATGATATACTTCACAGGTGGTTTTACTAAAAATACGCTTTATTGCACTCATTAAACTGATGAACATTAACAGTATATATTCAAAAATACATGTATTTTAATAGCCATTTATAAATAGTGTACTTTTTTTAACTATGCTTCAAGAAGTATCAAAACTTAATATCCAACCTGACAGGCTAAAACTGTTAAAAATGCTGAGGTACTGGAAATGCTCACACACTGCTATCATTGAGTGTAAACTAGCAGTGTTTACTAAGGATAAGATACACTCTGTGAGTCAGCAAACAACCCCTGAGTACACCCAACAGAAGGGCGGAGGGACGTTCCTAACAGCATTATTCCTAGTAGCCCCAATTGAGAACAATTTAAATGTTCACTAATATTACAACGGATAGAAACATTCTCTACGCACACAAATAACTACAGAGCAATGAAAGTGAACTACTACATACATCAACAAAGATACTTCATCAAGTTTTGGTAACAGATGAAAATAGTGGCATCCTTGGGGATGGTGAGTATGGTGGGCACTGGCCCAAAAAGGCAACACCGGAAATCTCCCAGAGCAAAAGAAAGGTAAATGTTACGCAATTTTACTCTGACCTATACTTAAAAAAAAGAGCTGTACACCTTACTACATATAAATTATATTTCAACAAAAACAACAAAGGGAAAATTGAACAACTAATGCCCTGGTGAATAGTACAGCTATGGGGAAGGAAGTAAGTGGCTACAAATACCTTTGTGCCTTTACTGGAACATCTGCATTTGTAAAAAGAGTAAATTTTTAAGTGCACAAATGGTATTCCTTTTATTATAATGGTTGGCTGAAAGTCTAAAACTGGCAGATATTTTAACTCCTATGAAATAGGCAACTTTACATTACACATACCAGTTAGTTGCCAGCACTGAGCTTTAACCACTCACTTTGCTAAATATAGTACTGAGTAGAAAATTAAACACAAAATGTGGCCTACAGAATTGTAACGGCTGCCTGTCATTAGAAATACAACAAAAGAAATGCACTTATTTTACTAATGTACATTCCTTATGTATTTTACCCTAAAATTTGCTGCCATCTCAAAGTTGGAACAAAGAAAATTCTTTTAAAAATTGACAATTTATTCCTTAAATAAATGTGGGGGAAAAAATCAGAAAAACAAAAACTTTGCATACTCTTAAAAGAACTGCTCCATTTTGTACTGCAAATTGCTTTTGCTAAGTGTTACCGTGAAGATAAACATCAGTCCAGGGAATGTGTTTTAATAAAGACATATTCAACTTAATCAAATACCTGACAAGATTCCTGATAAAAATTACACAAATAAAAAGATTAATGGTTTTAAAGACTTTCAAGAGCAAGAAAGAATAAAAGTACCTAAAATTATCCATGCAGAATCCTGGCCTACAGTGAAAGTAAGCCAAGAGGGAATATAGCACCCTGAGATGTTAAAAAGAAATTTTTTTTAATGGGGTTTATGTTGCTCAGGCTGACCCCAAAATCATGAGCTTAAGCAATCCTCCCACCGCAGCCTCCTTGGTAACTAGGACCTCCGGAGTGCCACCATGCCCAGCTGGAGATGTAAACACTGTCAACTATAATCTCCCGTATGTATAAATAAAATCTTGTGCTCACTGTGTGAACTACATCCGGACCCTCGGACTTAGAGTCAACCAGAACTTCTCTACCAGTTGGCCATTTGTTTGATTTCCTTGTGAGAAAATACAGGCAGCTGGTGAGATTTGTTTGTTTTTCAGACTCCTCAGCTTTTGCCACCGACAGTACTACCTTCTAGGCACTGGTCCAGGTGCTCGTTAATCTGTGACTCTGCCACTTCACTCTGACACACCGGACAGCTGACCCACTGGCTCTGACTGCACGAGCTGCTGGAACTCTCGGCTGCAGCTGCAGAGTGTGAAGTACTGTCTGGCTCTCTGCCATCACTTGGTACTTGCTCCTTCATCAAAAAGGTGTCAAACGTGCTCTTGTCTTCTAACCGGGGTCGTTTGCCTGGGAACTTGTCTTTGGACCCACTCCCACACTGGGAGGCAGTTATGGATGCTGACGCCATCACTTTGGAGGGGTTTCTCAGTGATGTCTTAGAAGAGGGAACCCTCCTTTGAGAACCAGGAGAGACTGAGTGTTTGGTGCTGTCACCAACCGTCCCATTTTTCGACAGGGATTCACTCACACTTCTGAAAGCCTTTTGGTTGGCAACTGAGACTCTGGGAAAGTAACTGCTTAGGACACTTTGGTGCACAGGAGGGAATAGATGAGATTTTTTACTTGAACTACTCTGTTTGAATTTTGCCTCTGTGCTACAATCAGGTCTTACAGCATCTGAATGGTCCTGACTTAAAAAGCCTTGGGATTCACTGATGGCATGTGAACCAATCGACTTTCCAGATGAAGATGGACTCCTCACTTCTCCCAGAACGTACCCTTTCCCACTGAAAGGGATTATCGGCTGAGCGTCACCTCTGCTGGGGTTATCTGCAAAAAAGCAAATAAGACTTTCCTAGACTCAACATTAATGCAGTAACAAACACAAAGTAATGTACAGTCATCTCAAAAATATTTCTGTTTTAGACCCATGTAATAATTACCTATCAATGGGAAGTCATCTTGGGAAGTAAGATCTCGAAGAAAGAATTTATTTGAAAGAAAATAGAGTTCTCTCAGATTAAAAAAAAAAAAAAAATCTATCATGCCAAAGGACAATGACCCCTAAAAGGGCTTCTTTCGCTCTATGTTTAACTCCAGAAGGGAAAAACCTGCTGCTCTGCTGTCTTTCCTCCTCTTCACAGGACAGAAGTTTTCCAGCTGCCCGCAGGGGCTGTTCTGGATTTGGGAAACAGCTTGTGCTCCTGGGTCCTACCCTACCAATCCATACTTCCCAAGGGAGGGAACATCAACTTCATCGACCTGTTACGGCCTCATAAGACGTGACTCTGAGCTCCACAGGAGGGCGAAGACCCTAAAGATGAAACACTATAAAATGTGTGCCACACCTCTTCCCATTCTCCTCCCAGTGAACACATGGACAGAATCCAACTGATTGGAAGGGGTGCACTTAGGACTTACATTCTAGGCATTATGTGAACTGCTGTTATTATGCTGACAATCTCTTCGCTATTTCCTAACTACTCAATGAAGTCAAGACAGTGAAAAGAATTCCACATAAATATTGTGAGGGAAACTTTCTACATCTACTTGTACATAAAGCAAAGTGTATTTCCCCAGCACCACTTCATGGATGACAGAATTTCCTGTTAAAGCTACGCTTGAGTATTTCTACACTAAACACAGCTCTCAGGCTTACCTTGACACCAGTTCTCTAAAGAGCAGGACTGTTTACATTGGCTATGGGCATGGAGAAGGGAGATGAGTGTGTGTACCTTTATTCTCCACTGTTGATAGGGGCTGCTTTTGCGGTTTTGTCTTTCCTTTTCCTTTTCTTGAGTAATTCTCTGGTTCCTTGATTTTTATGAAAGTGCCTCCACAGGTTTTCTGGTGCTCAGCCCACCAGTAGTCATGTGCAGAGGGTACCCGGTTGGTGGCGCGTTTGACATAGCCGTAATACGGCTGTTTATACTGACACGGCCCATTGCAGCGCCACCAGTGTCGGCGGTACTCTTCCACTTCATCGTGAAACGTGTGATACACCTGGGTACGAAGGCAAGTTTCAGCATTCAGTACGCAAGTTAGCAATTTTAAGGGAAACACTTCACATAAGCAGTCTGTGTGTGTGTGTTGGGGGTGGGTAACTTTCTATTTCCTAGAGATTTCTGGAAAGCTCTATTTTGGGGAAAGAAAGCTAATATATTTAGAAGTTCAGAAGTCCATTTAAATGGGAGGCAGTAGTAGTTAATTTAATACTTCCTAAATAGTGTAATGCTAGAATATGAGATAAAACTTTTTAGAAAAAGCCACAAAGACAACTATCAATGCTAAATGCTTCAGAAATGAAATATTAAAATGACCAAGAACTAAGATAGACACAAAGTTTAATATAACACTCTAAGGACCAGTCCCCAGTTTGGGATGTAGCTCAGTGATCGAGTGACTGCTTCCTGTATGTGAAGCCCTAGGTTTGATCCCAGCACTGAAAATACAAATAAAAGAAGAAAATGAAAAGAACCATTCCTATTGCTAAACTGAAAACTTCCCAGCAGGACCAATACCAATAGCTCTGAGGGACCAAACTCCTCCCGTCAATGCCTGGCCTTCACCAGTGAATCCTCTACTGCGCTCTCTCCCCATAATATCAAAGCTCTGCCTGTGTCTCCACAGTGAGCTTTATGTGGTAATACTGCACCTGTGCATGGCTGTTTCTCTTAACAGAATTTAGTGTTTTCATCTGGTCACCAGTAATCAATCAGTGGTTGGCATGGCGAATGTACCTGCTGAGTGACTAAAAACCACTACTCAAGTGAATCAGTTGTCTGTAAACAAGCTTTCCAATTTTTATCTGACTTGATTTCTTTTGCCTTCTAGGTCTAGATGTCTTACTTAGAATCTTAGCAAAAACCAAGAAAGAAAAGTTCTGGCCGGAGATAGTCAGCACCCTCAAGCACTTTAGCAGTGAGGGCTGCAGAGGTCTCTTGAAAATTATTGCTGTTGGGCTGCAGCACAGTGACGAGCTGTGTTCAGCACGGATGGGGGCCAGGGTTCAACCTCCAGCATTAGAATCAATTACAAAACCTGCTACTCCTACCTGCCTGTGTGGACTTCTTATCTTCTCAGTGGAATCTTACTATTGGTATAAAAATAAGGAGCACCTACGTATGTAGTTTTTCTAACCAAAAAATTTTAAATTTCTAATAAATTATCCTTTTAAGAATGTTAAGCTTTCTTCCATAATACTAGACAGTTTTATGCTGTCTCTCCATCATAAACAAAAACTTCTATTCCTTGCAAACATTATTTAATGCACATCATATGAGAGATACCAAAGAGTGGATGACATTAAGTTTTGGAACAGAGGCAAATGCTGTAATGCTGCCCTGTCTATTGTATTGAAACTCTTCACGTGGCAATTCATTAGCAAAAAAGGACAGGGAATGGAACCTGTTTTGTTTCCAACTTCTACAACTCTCACAACTTGGTCATAAGGCTTTTAATGACGTGTGACTACAATGTAAATATTCTAGGTAGCTTGATATAACTGGAAGTAAGCTACACTAGCAAGGGCTGCTCAGTCCACACACACCCCAATAAAAACACACAGGCAAGCTGGGCGTGGTGGCTCATGCCTGGAATCTCAGCACTTGGGAGGCTGAGGCAGGAGAATTGCTGCAAGTTCAAGGCCAGTCTGGGCTACATAGTGAGTTCAAGGCCAGCCTGAACTGCAGAGTGAAACCCTGTATCCAAAAGAAAAACGACAAAACAAAACACAGATGCCCAAATCAAAAGACTATATCCTCTCCCAACTGAGCAGTGGGAATTGTACGAGGGTGTGCTTCAGTGAAATTTTATTACTGGTCAAGCTGTACAAAAATGTTTCACATGTTTCTCCTTTAATCCTATCTCAAGGATCATGCAGGTAGATACTGTTATTACCTCCAGGTGCAGGTGAGTAAGGTAAGGCAGAGATGCACTGGGTAGATCCAGAATAATCATCAGCAGAACAAGGTAGCATACGAACCCAAGCAACTTGTCACCTCAGCTTTGTGGCCTCAGTGCTGTGCTTTGTGACCTCTCATGACCAGGCAGAGATAGGAATCAAAGACTTCTGGAATCAATGATACAGGAAATGGTAGCAGATACAGAAAAGATTCAAGGAGATTACAGTAAGAAAACCAAGTGGAGAAGGTGTCATGAGAGCCCAGTACTGTAGGCCTGAATCAACTATGCCTAAAATGTTAACCTAGAGGTTGGAGGCCTCAGAGATACTGCTGAATCTACTGTTCTAATGTGTGAGCCTGAAAAGCAAATTACCTTCCTCAGACTTCTTGCTCACTGCTGAAAATTCTCTAAGGTGTTTTTACATTCCTCCCCCACACCCCTAGTACTGGGATCAAAGCTAGAGTTCTACCACTGAGCTACACCCCCAACCAGTTTTATTTTATTTATTTTATTTACTTATTTATAACTGGGGATGCAATTTTGGGACCTTCACACTGAGCTACAATCCTAGTCCTTTGTTTGAGACAGGGTTTTGCATTGCCCAGGATGGGCTTAAACTTGCAATCTTCTTGCACTAGCCTCTGAAATAGGATTACAGGTATGAGCCACTGTGCCCAGCAAGTTCACTATTTTTAATTAAATTTCAGAAGTTACTGAATAAATAACTAGTAAATACCATAAACGTCTACGACTTTATATACCGTAATATTAGCTCCAGTCAGGCGGTTGATGCGATGCATATGTTTACAAAATTCTGGACCATGTCCTTCCCGGTCTTTGTCATTGTTAGTGATAAATAAATAGGCATGTATCATTTCATGTAAGAGGGTCTGAAACACAAAACAATTTTGTTATAGCACTTCTGAAAATAAGACTGCATTTTATTGCTCTACCTAGTCTATAAGTATATATTCACAAAACCTTGCAAATATATGAAGCTCTGAAGATCCTAAACAACTTCTCGTTCTTAGAAAACGTTATTGAGTACAAAGCAAAATCCAGAAGAAACTACCAGGGCCAGGGATTTAGCTCAGTGGTGCAGTACATGCCTGGTGATTGTGAGGTCCTGAATTCCATTCCCAGTACCCCAAAAAGATCAATAAATCCAACTACATAAAAAAGTTTATAATTCTGATAGAAAAAAACACTAAGTAAAAAAGACAAACTCAGGCCAGTATGTGGGCAACACATATCACAGGCAATTAATTCTGAATGTACTATAAAAAGCTCCAAATGTTAACAGGAAAATAATAAACAGTTTTAAAGTAGGGAATAGGTCGGTGCCATGGCATATACCTGTACTGTCAGCTAATTGGGAGGCTGAGATAGGAAGATGACTTGGGCCCAGGAGTTCATAAACAGCCTAGAAAACATAGAAAGACCCTGTCTCTTACAAAAAGATAAGCCAGACATGGTGGGTCACACCTATCACCCCAGCACTCTGGGAGGCAAAAGTAGGAAGATCACAAATTCAAATTTAGCTTGGGGAAGTCTGTGATTTACCAAAATCCTGTTTCAAAAACAAACAAAAAAATAAACAACAACAACAAAAAACCTCTGAGATACAGCTCAGTAGATTCAATCCTTTGTAGCACAAAAATAAAAACAGTTTAAAATGTCCTGGAGTTCGAAGAAAAAGAAGTGTAAACTGTGAGAGACCAGAGGAACATAGAGCTGAATTGGTTTCCTCTGTGAGCACAAGAGAAAGTTCATATAGCTGAATTTAAATTGTTTCCCTGAACAAAAAGGACATTGGAAGACAGATGAACCTTGTGTTACGGGTACTGCTTGTACCCAAGTCTGAGTGAATAAAAGGGGCACGTGGCTCCTCTACCCTAGAGAGGAGCCTCTATGTTAAACTGGCAGCCTCTATGTTAAACTGACTCTGTCATTCATCCTCATTCACACTCTGGTCAGGGGAACAGACTAGCATTAGCAGGACTAGGTCCCTGCAAGCAGTACCTGGGTAGGGAAGGCTCACAGCAGTGGGCTGGTTCGCCACAGGTGGTGCCTGGGAAAGGGACTTGAGGACCAGTGGCGCAGGCCAGTCTCCAACAATAAATGACCCAAAAGTATATTAAAATGCTCAGTGTCATTTGTAAAAAAGAGAAAGACATGTTCACCAAGATTGGTAAAACTGGACTGTTGACATTGCTAGTAAAACTAGGGGGAAATATTTGCATGTAAAATGGTACAACCCATACAGAGAACTTCATATCACTTAACAAATTACAGATGTATTTACCACTTTATGCTTGCACCCCCTACACAAGCATGAAAGACTTAGGTACTGATAGGTGCATTCACTGCAGCATTGTTTGAAAAAGATAAAAACTTAGAAACACCCTGAGTCTTTACCAATACGACCCTGGCTATATGTATACCCACAAAACAGAATTCAACATAGCCATACAAAGAATAAAAAAGATCTCTAGGAGCTGGCCCTGGTGGTGCACATCTGCAATCCCAGCACTCAGGAGGTTGAGACAAAAGGATCACCATGAGTTTAAGGCCAGCCTGTCGTACATAGCAAGATCAAGACAAGCGTAGGCTACATACTAAGATCTGTCTCAATTCCCCACCATCCCCCAAAAAAAGATCTCTAGGAAAGCATATGGAGCAAGCTACAGAGTATACTGTAAAGCACATAGCATTCTATTTAAGAAATGTATAGGAAATGGCAATAAAAGCAGATGTAAATACTTGTAAAGCAGAAAAATCAAAGAATAAGAAACTAATAATTCTTTTAATAGGCAGAGAGAACAGAGAAAGACAAGTATAGAAAAAAAAACTTCCCTATTTTCCTTCTATAGTTTTAGAGCTCTGAATCACATATAATAAAAACCATCAGTCCACATAGTGTAATAAAAACAATCAGTCCACAACAAGTATATCAAAGTTTATGTGAGAAACTAACAAGTGCTCAAAGTTGCTACAGTTTCTTGTTCTAAAAATGTATGAATAGTGTCTTTTTAAGAAATGAAAACTGGGCTGAAGGTGTGGCTCAGTGGCAGAGTGCTTGGCTAGCATTCCCAAAGCTCTGGATTCCATCTCCAACACAAATGAACAAACCATAAAGATCTTCAAAAGTATGTATTTTCTTTAATTCTCAATGATATGTGTGTGCACGTGCAGGCAGTACTGAGGACTGAACCCAGGTCCACACACATGCTAAGCAAAGCACTGTATTATTGAGCTATGCCCCTGACCCTCTTTTTAAAAATTTATTATCATTATTATTTTGTAAACAGGGTCTCGCTTTGCAATACTGGCTGCCCTTGAACTTGTTTATGTAGCCCAGACTGTGTCTCAAACTCAAGTGTTCCCCCTGCCTCAGCCTCCTGAGTACTGGAATTATGGCCTGCGCCACTACACCCAGCTCATCCCTGACCTTTTTAATTGAAATAGAGTCTCATTAAGTTGCCTGGATGCCTTCACATTTGTAATTCTACCTCAGCCTCTCTAGTAGCTAGCATTACAGACATGCACCATCATACCAGGCTCCTAATACTGCTACTGTCAACAATAATGTTTTAAAAAAGAATTTCTGGAGCTAAAGATGTAGCTCAGTGGACAAGCACTTGCCTAGCTTGGCTGAGGTCCTGGGTTCAATCCTCAGCAGTAGCCAAAAAATTTAAAAAATAAAGGGATTTCCATCAGAGGAACAAGACTGGCAGACTGGAATTAATAAATTTAGCTTTATAGCCGGGAATTTAGCTCAGCCTCATAAGCGCCTGCCTGGCAAGTGCGAGATCATGAGTTCGATCCTGGGTACCAAAAAAAAAAAAATTTAGCCTTACAAAATTATGCTGAAAAAAACCATGACAAACATTTTAAACTGGTCCCCAAGAAAATAACCATTTTAAAATTATCAGTTGCACCTTTGAAAAGAAACATTATTTGCTGAGCAAATGTCACTCTAGTCAAAAAACTAAAATTCAAGGAAAACTTGTCTATACTTCAAAAATTTCTCAATAATCTAAGATGATAATAAATATCCATTCTCACAAAGGATTGTGAGAAGGAGAAACCTATTTAGGTTAATTTTTGGTTCAATTTAAACATCTTGCAAATAGCACAAGGCAGTATTTTCATATCTACCAGTGTCCACAATGAAGCTACATTCAAGGCTCTGGAGAGCATATCTCTGTTTCCCATTATGCTTGTATCCGTCAAAAGTAATGACTTCCGGACCAGGAACATAGCTCAGTGGCATAAGCACCTACCAGGCAAGTGCAAGGTCCTGAGTTCAATTACTGGTACCAAAAAGTACTGACTTCTGGCCCTAAACATGCTACAAGTTTTCTGACCCTGCCCCCATTCGCATTACTCTTATTCCTCTGGTCAACAGTAATCTCCCCATGCAGCTCTACTTGTCAGAAGTCCAATGAGTCTCTGGGCCTCAACTCTCTTGATTCAGCTGGAAGGAGCAATAGTTACTGGGCAACATGACTAAGCTGAGTAGCAGGAAGTTAGGGAACCTAAAAAGCAAGGGCTACTAATTAAGCATAAAACCTGGGACAGGTTACAACTTGCTCATCACTCCTGAAGTAGGATGTCCTACTTTTCAGGGCTACGGCAAAGGTTACAGCACAGCTGGTCCAAAGTCTGGCACAGAAAAGGTGCTCCACAAAGAATGAGTGGTAGAAATGGTGGTGGAGTCATCATAAAATCTAAATTTATAAAGCTTGACTTCCTAAACCAGAGAAAAAGTCTTTTCCTTTCATAAATCTTTTTTATGATTCAGTTAATACTTTATGGACCACAGTTCCCTCCTGTTCTTGCCTAATTTGATACTGCAACTTCCTGCCAAGAGGAAACCCTCACTTGAAACCACTACCACACACTTCCATTCTCTCAATCACTACTTTAAAAAACAAAAAAGACTGGGTGTGATGGTGCACACGCCTGTAATCCCAGAACACAGAACTGAAGCAGGGGCATGGCCACAAGTTTGAGGCCTACACTACATAATGAGACCCTTTTTCAAAAAAAAATTGTTCACATGCTTAATCAGTATATATTCATCCTTTGGCAGATGCTGCACCACTGAGCTGTAACCCTGGCCTCTCAATATATTATTATATTCAATAGGTTAATATTATTAAAAAATTCTACTTTTTTATCTAGTAAAATTTCTTTCCTTGAAGTTATTTGGTCTGATACAAATAAAAATGCAATAGCTTTCTGCTGTATTTGGATGATATGCATTTTTCTATCTCTTCAAATCTAACATGTCTTTGTTGTGAAGTACAGCTCTTTTTTTTTTTTTTTTGGTCTTTTTCGTTTTTATCGGTACCAGGGATCGAACTCACAACTGCTTGCTTGCAAGGCAAGTGCTTATGCCGCTGAACTAAATCCTCAGCCCCCGGCTCTTTTAATCTAGTATATCAAATGTGTCTCTAACAAAATAGCCACTCATATTTGATACAATTAATGGTTATGCCTTTTTCTTTAGGTCACGTCGGCTTTGTTTTTTATTCCTTTTTTTCTCACTAATCAAATGTTTCTATTGTACCATTTTACATTTTTAAGTATTTTTACTCTTTTTAAATTGTAGTATAAACCATGCAACATAAAATTACCATCATACTCACTTCTTTTTCTCATGGGATGGGGTGCATTATTCTTGAAGGTATTGTAATACCAAGTGAACACATGGAGTGGACAGAGCAAGCTCTTATTCCACCTTTCTGCTTCAAAATTCCATTTAACATACTGCTTTCTTTCTTTCTTTTCTTTTTTTTTTTTTTTTGTCTTTTTCGTTTTTATCGGTACCAGGGATCGAACTCACGACTGCCTGCTTGCAAGGCAGGCACTTATGCCGCTGAGCTAAATCTCCAGCCCCTAACATACTGCTTTCAGACACAGTACATATCAAGACATTCAACTGATCAGAACAGATACAACAGCTGATTTTAACCAAAGGCTAATCACCCTTTTATGTGTACAGTTGAACAGTATTAACTAAGTCACTGCTGTGAAATCCATTACTTATTATTATTATCCTTTAAGGTTCTACTACTCATACTTCCCAGCATGTTTTAAGATATTTCCCATCCCATGCAGACAATCTCTACCACCCCTATGCTGTCCTGTGCAGATTTTTCAGTGACAGAAATGAGGCAGGATAAGTCATACGGTTGCATTTAAGGGACTTTCAGGTATCTACTAAACCCGATCTGAAGCAGACCAATTCTTTCTTTCTGACTCCTGTGCTATCAAGAGTGACCACAGTTCTACAATGAAGTGTAATTCCAGGCCAACTGTGCTACCACTCAGGTAGGTGTCCTGGGAGGACAGCCATGTGGTGGTCAAATAGTGGATAATTCAAATTTGTCTGTGTCAATGGAAACACTCAGATAATAAGTTTTTCTCTAAATATGTAACTTAAGCAAATTACTTAACCATTCTAAATTGTAATTTCCTCATTGGCAAAAAATGAAGATAACCCACACTGAACATAAATATGGCTGATGTAAAGACCAAATGAGATAATATACCTGACAGTCTTAACTACCCAGCACTATAAATATACAAGGCATTATTTGCTTCACAATTCAAGTTTACATTAAGGGAAAAGTAATTTTTAAAAAACATATAGGTTAGTTCACTACAGACTGTAAATTACTGAGCTAGGAATCAGGCTTGTACAAAGAATACCTCTACAAGATCTTTCCTTGGTCTGAACTTTAAAAGGGGTTCACTGATACGGATGGAACACATTCCACCACTGCCTTCATAGCAGCAAATCCCAGCACACCTGGAAAACAATTTCAACCATGTTATATTTTCCAAATACACGTGAAAAGGAAACATAAACCAGCAAATCCTCACTCCTTCTTTGGCAATTCACATTAAGAGGATCCTGCCGGCGTATAGCTTTTTTCTCAGTATTGGGGATTGAACCCAGGGCCTATGGCTGAGTTACATCCTCACATTTTTATTTTTGTTTTTTTTTGAGAGAGAGAGTCTAGATAAGTCTCTAAATTGCCCGACTGTGATCCTCCTGCCTAAATCTCCCATTGTACTGGGATTACAGGAGTGCACTACCAAAATCAGCTCAAACAGCTTTCTTAAGAATTCATCCAAGCGTGGTGGTGCACTCCTGTAATCCCAGCACTCAGGAAGCCTGAGGCAGGCGGATCCTTGCAAATTCGAGACCAGCCTGCGCCAGAAAGTGAGCCCAAGATCAGCCTGAACTGCGTAGTGAGACCCTGTCTCAAAAAGACAAAAAAAAAAAAAAAGAAAGAAAGCAAGAAAGAATTCATCCTCTTGGGAGCAGAACTTGCACTGCACCCAGTTAGGGGACTATTCCCACTACTGTGGCTTCCCCTACCCTAACAACTGCAAAGCCTATAAAAGAAAGTCACCTCAGGGACTCACTGTCCTCCCCTGCCAGTCAGCAAGTGACAGCAAACATCAGAGCTGTGGTAGCACACTCGTATGAAAAGCTGTGGCCCCTGGGACCTGGACCTCTTGGGACAGGGTCCCAGGAATCAGGTTCACACGCCCTGAGGAATCCTGGGTCCTGGCACCCTCCGGGCCATGTCTTAAGAGTCAGTCTACACGTCCTGAGGGACACTGGATCTTGGCACTCTTGGGGCTGGATCCTAGGGAATAGGTCCACTCATTCTGAGGGACGCTGGGTTCAGCGCACTCCTCGCTGCGGTGTTCCGGCGGGGTCAGCTTCTCAAGGCCCTGGGGGTTCCTCCCTCCCCAAGCCCCAGAGAAAAAGAGGCGGGGCACCAACGGCAGGCTTTCTGGCCGTTCGCGGCGGCGTGAAGGCACACTCACAACGTCATGCGCGCGCTCCACTTCACCTCCACCGCTTCCAGCTGGCCCCAGAAAAAGCTGTCGTTGAATTGGACGAATAGGGCCTGTAGGTCTGGGGTGGGGTCCACCAGCTCCCAGGACGCGTCCACCAGCGACAGGGTCTCCTGCGCTGCACGCATGGCGGCCCGCGCGTCCCACTCCTCCTGCAGTCGCAGCGCGACCATCAGATCCTCCTCCATCACTTTGTGCAGTTACCCTCGTACCCTTGAAGACACTGGTTTCACGAGAACGTGGGCCCGTCTTCACAACGAGCGCGGGCTCGTCCGGAACACTGCTGCCAAGATGCGGAAGCCTGGCAGCAAAAGGCACTGCAACTCCGTTCGCAGACAAGGACCAAGTAAGCTCTCAGAAAGTCGGTTACCGCCTTTTACCCCTCCCTCTCTGGTCACGCCCCGCCTATGCGCAGGTCCCAGTTCGCCCCTACTTCCGCAGTGGTGCACACGCGCCTTAGGCCGTTAGTGTTTCTGCGCAGGCGTCATAACCGCGTTCAACCACAGCGCAGGCGCATGTGCGACGCTTGTCTCCAGTGCAGGCGCAGCGGGCGACGTGTAGCGTTGGCGCAGGCGCAGTGCCCGACGCCCGTTCCTGGCGCTGGCGACCTCATCTTGCTCACACCCCGCTCCCTCAACTCCGGGTTCCGCAGGGTTCGGGTGGGGTCAGACGGCGGCGACTGACAGCGACTGTGGGAGGCCGGCGCTGCGAGGGCGATGACCATGTCGGACAGCGGGGCAAGCCGCTTGCGGCGACAGCTGGAATCCGGGGGATTCGAGGCACGTCTGTACGTGAAGCAGCTGTCGCAGCAGTCGGACGGGGACCGTGACCTGCAAGAGCACCGACAGCGTGTGCAGGCGCTGGCGGAGGAGACGGCGCAGAACTTGAAGCGCAATGTCTACCAGAACTACCGGCAGTTCATCGAAACGGCGCGAGAGATCTCCTACCTGGAGAGCGAAATGTACCAGCTTAGCCATCTGCTGACAGAGCAGAAAAGTAGTCTAGAGAGCATCCCGTTGGCTCTGCTACCCGCCGCTGCTGCGGGGGCCGCCTCCGGCGAGGACGCAGCAAGCTCGGGGCCCCGGGACCGCCGCCGAGGCCAGGCCGGCTTCCTGCCTGGCCCAGCGGGTGCCCCGCGTGACAGCCCCACCACAGGTGAGGAGGGCAAGCAGCGCACCTTGACCACACTGCTGGAGAAGGTGGAGGGCTGCAGGCACCTGCTAGAGTCGCCTGGGCAGTACCTAGTGTACAACGGGGACCTGGTGGAGTATGAGGCAGATCACATGGCGCAACTGCAGCGCGTGCACGGATTCCTCATGAATGACTGTCTGCTGGTGGCTACCTGGCTGCCCCAGCGACGGGGCATGTACCGCTACAACGCCTTGTACCAACTAGACGGCCTGGCTGTGGTCAATGTCAAGGACAACCCACCCATGAAAGACATGTTTAAGTTGCTTATGTTCCCCGAAAGCCGAATTTTTCAGGCAGAAAATGCCAAGATCAAACGAGAGTGGCTGGAAGTACTGGAGGAAACCAAGAGGGCACTTAGTGAGAAGAAAAGGAGGGAACAGGAGGAGGCAGCAACCCCGCGAGGGTCCTCACAAGTGACTGCCAAGGCCAGCAACCCATTTGAGGATGATGACGACGAAGAGCCAGCTGTTCCTGAGGTAGAGGAAGAGAAGGTGGACCTCTCAGTAGAGTGGATCCAGGAGTTGCCAGAAGACCTGGATGTCTGCATTGCCCAGAGGGACTTTGAGGGCGCTGTTGATCTTCTGGATAAACTGAACCACTACCTAGAAGACAAGCCCAGCTCGCCACCTGTGAAGGAACTCAGGGCCAAAGTGGATGAGCGGGTGAGGCAGCTCACTGAGGTGCTAGTGTTTGAACTCTCCCCAGATCGATCACTGAGAGGTGGCCCCAAGGCCACTCGCAGGGCAGTTTCTCAGCTTATCCGACTGGGCCAGTGCACCAAGGCATGTGAGCTGTTTCTGAGAAACAGGGCAGCAGCTGTGCACACTGCAATACGGCAGCTCCGAATCGAAGGAGCCACTCTCCTTTACATTCACAAGCTCTGCCATGTCTTCTTCACTAGTCTACTAGAGACTGCAAGAGAGTTCGAGATAGACTTTGCAGGCACTGACAGTGGCTGCTACTCTGCCTTTGTGGTCTGGGCAAGGTCAGCTATGGGCATGTTTGTGGATGCTTTCAGCAAGCAAGTGTTTGACAGCAAGGAGAGCCTCTCAACAGCCGCAGAGTGTGTGAAGGTGGCCAAAGAGCACTGCCAACAGCTGGGGGAGATTGGCTTAGACCTCACCTTCATCATCCACGCACTACTGGTGAAAGACATCCAGGGGGCCTTGCACAGTTACAAAGAGATCATCATTGAAGCCACCAAACACCGCAACTCAGAAGAGATGTGGAGGCGGATGAATCTGATGACTCCTGAGGCCCTGAGCAAGCTCAAGGAAGAGATGAGGAGTTGTGGGGTCAGTAACTTTGAGCAGTACACAGGTGATGACTGCTGGGTGAACTTGAGCTACACGGTGGTTGCCTTCACCAAGCAAACCATGGGCTTTCTGGAAGAGGCACTGAAGCTGTATTTCCCGGAGCTGCACATGGTGCTTCTGGAGAGCCTGGTGGAAATCATCCTGGTTGCTGTTCAGCATGTGGATTACAGTCTGCGGTGTGAGCAGGATCCAGAGAAAAAGGCTTTTATCAGGCAGAATGCATCCTTTCTGTACGAAACAGTCCTCCCTGTGGTGGAGAAGAGATTTGAGGAAGGTGTGGGAAAACCTGCTAAGCAGCTCCAGGACCTGAGAAACACCTCTAGACTCATGCGCGTGAACCCTGAGAGTACAACTTCAGTGGTCTAATGGTTTGAGTCTGCTTGTGTGTATATACATATTGCTTATGTTATTTATGTTGTTACATTAGCATACCCGTGATAGTTTGAAACAGCTTAAAAATTTTAAATTGCCTTTTTAAAAATGCAAAATCAAAAGGAGAAAAAAACATTAATTTAAGTTCAAGTAAGGAAGATATAGGAATTATTGAAACATACTATCTAAGCTTTCCTGTTAAATTATGCTAATTCTTTAATTAAAATATGATCCCACTGTAGTATTAGTTTATTTTTGAGTCAAACCATACTTTCTCATGCAAAAAAAGTCCATAAATGTACATATTATGTTGTGAAGTTTCCCAGTTCACCAAAATGTTGCTTTTCTTAAAGGGTACAGTGCCATCTCAGAGCCTGCCTCATATATTTGTTCTCCTCAAGCTGTAATTGAATAATTTGGGAAAAAGAAAGGAGTTAGGAAAATGTGTTTGAGGATAAGTTTTATTTTAAAGAATTATTTCTTGAAACTGTGTGTGGATGTCACATATTCCCATCCTTACAGAATACAAGAGGAAGCTTTCATGAAAACCAGGAGCTAGGACCAACATGTAATCCCAGTTACTGGAAAGGCTAAGACTAGTCAGGCAATTTTGTGAGACCTTATTTCAAAAGAAAACGGCTGGACATATGGTTCAGTAATAGAGCACCCCTGAGTTCTATCCCCAGTGCTAAGGAGTAAACAAAAACAGAAAAGTCTCCTCAACAAACATTTCCATAATTTGAATGACTGATTATTTTCAGTTGCTCATTAGCAGCTTGATACTGTTTGACTTGGAAGCATCTACTTGGAAATTGGAAATGGTAAAGTGTTCCTTTCCACCCCAGCATATTTCTGAAATGTATAAATTTCCAGCTGGAGCATTCATCCTTGTAATATTAAATTTTTTAAAAAGTAATAAAAACGGGACACATTGAGGAACCTTGGCAGTGGCCAGTGACTTTCAGCCCTCCAGCCCTTCAGTGTAGCTTGTACAGTAGCTCAGTTTGCAGACAAATAAAAAAATTTCTATGGAAATCTATATGGATTTCAGGGTCTGAATGCCTGAGAAGTTGGGAAAAAATGCAGATGTTGGTGTTCTCAAGAATGACTACTGGAGCAGAGATTTTTTGGGGGTTCTTTCTGTAACAAAGTATAAGAATAGAGGTGAGACCAGTATACCCAAATCATAGGGAAGAAGATACTTTTCTGAATCTCTAATTGCTCCATGCTGCATTTCTTTCATGAGACAGGATCTTACTATGTAATTCTTGGTGGCCTTAAACTCATTATATAGCCTTCTTGTCACAGTGATCCTCTTCAGCCTCCTGAGTGCTGGGATTATAGGCAAGTGCCATCATGCCTGGCCCATTTTCTTGTTTTATTTTTAACTTTTATTGCTTTGTGTTAAAAAGGACTTCAGATTATAATGCTTAATTCATATTGCTTAGTAAAACAGAAATAAATGTGAGCATCCTGGGGTTTCTAAACTATGCTTCCACTGTGTATTAACATGCTTCATTATTTGAAAGAATTGTTTTTGCTGAGATTTTTTTTCATAGCATCTTGTGATTCTTTTCCTTAAGTGCCATTTATAATGTCCATGATTTCTAAAGGTCCTTTATATTTATTTCTAAAGGTCATAGTATTAAGACTGAAAATTACATGAAGCCTGAAATGGATTCTGAACAGTGACTCTGGGTTATAAAGCTCTTTAATTACTCAGATGCCAGACTGACACTCTTCTTTTACCTGTCTTTCCCTCCCTACCCCGTAACTGGGATTGAACCATACTGGCATGTACTTAACTACATCCCTATTTCTTAAAATCTTGAGACAGGGTCTTACGGATATGCTAATAATCTCAGTTCTCTGGGAGGCTGAGGCAGGAAGACTGCAAGTGAAGGCCCAGCCTGGGCAAAAGTAGTGACTTAGTGAGATCTTGTCTCAGAAAATAAAAGGGCTGGGGATGTAGCTCAGTACCAAAGCTCTTCATTTAATTCCCAGTACCACAAAAAATATATATAAAATGTTGAAAGGTATTAGGAATTTGACTTTTTTTTCACATATCTAGGATTTTCTGTATGTCATAACTGGATAGCTTAGCTGAACAAAAACAGTTATGCTTTTTAAAGAATCACTGGATACTTGAATTTTATAAAATTTTGTTATTATTTTGTGCCATTTACAGTTCCTAATATATTGTAGAAAATATGAACTTTGTAAATATGGCACAGGGTCTGTAAAATGATAGTTCTGAAAGTTGCTCTTAAGGCATGAAGTTGCAAAACCTTAAACATGTTTTATTCTCGGATATATAAATGGTTTTTTGTAAAACTGCCTGCTTTTTAAAACTGGAAGTACAGAATTTTCCACTGTTAGCATTTGTGTATTCCTTAATAAGAATCGTAACGGAAGGAAGTATGCTTTGGTGAATCGAGCAGTGTAGGAAGCTGATTAAATCTGCCAGTTTTATAATGTACCTCTGTGCTGGACATAAAAAGTTAACTCTGGATTCCTGCATGTGGGATCAGAGCTCTTCTCTCTAGAACCTTGTCTCATTAGGCTCCACAACAAGTTCTTAAATTGAATCCAGAAATGTAGTACATGCTGAATACCACTTAGCATTGATTGTTTTCTTGTTTGCTTCAAGCATACCTATCACTTGAGCTTGGATCACAGGCTTGATTGGATTAATTACTGCTTGGAAAAAAGACACTGTGGAATTAAAAAGTCTTTTTTGATTAAAGCCTCATTTCACTTACGTGCTAAAAACTTGATTATTTTTTGTTTAAAATACTACCTGTGGTTTAATTTTCAGTCTTATATCTCACAACTTGATCTTTTTATCTGTGATTGGGAATTTGGGACTTAATATGCAGTATAAAATCAGTATGTACATTTCACTTTTGATATCCTGTTAAAGGAACTCTGAAATGTTTTATAAAATAAAGCTTGAAAATGTTCTTACACTGGATAAAAGTGATACATGAATCTTCGTTAATCAGGATTTAATATTCTCATGTTTTTGTTACTGTTTTTTATTGTATTTATGTGGGAAGAATAGAAAGCTGATGGCTAATTTCAGCATTCTGGTTACTGTCAGAATTGTGAATAAATCAGATTTGTTTGCTTAGGATTCCCTTGAGTGAGAAATTCTACATGTACATAATGTGTTTACCCTAAAAAAAATAAATTTTATGCCATTTGTATATCCCTAAATAAAGGAAACAATTCAGGATGAAGGCCTCAATACCAAGGAGTTAGGTGGTGGTGCACACTTGTAAACCCAGTACTGAGGAGGCTGAGGCAGAGGATCGCCATGAGTTTGAGGTCAGCTTGAACTGCAATTAAACCTTCCCTCAAAAACACGAAGAAAAAAACAAAAAACCCAAGGAGCTAAATGACAAGAATCTGCATTTTTTAAAGTAACGTGTATATACAGAGGAAAGGAAGCAGTAACATATACAGGTATTGAGCATTGTGCTTCACAATGAGGGCAGGGAGGACAAAATAAAACTAAGCTTGTTTTCTCTTAAAGTGCTTGAATATTGGGAAAAGTCAAATAAAAACTATAACTACTCAGCTATGTATAGCAAGAACACTGAGGAAGAGTAGGATAATTTGAGGAGTTTATGACATTCTCGTTAAAGTACTGGTCTGAAGTAGTGGTCCTTGAAGAATGGACAAAACAGACCTACAAAGAGAGAGAAGAGAGTGCAGGAGCAAAGACTGCGGGTGATGCAGGTGTCACATGAAGAAACCTGCTGGAGGGGCCAGCAGAGCACACAGGAAAGGGGTACAGCGCATGTTGCCTGAGAGGGCCTCAGTCTGTCCAGAGGTGTGAAGAGCCAAAGTCCCCACCTGCGCCAAACCTGCCGACAGTCCCTCCCAGAGGAAAGGCTCACTAAGAGTTTCATGTGCATTTCCCCCTAGAAACTGGGCTATACCATACATGCAGTTCAAGATCTTATTACTCAGCAATTTAGGATTTTCATGACTACATCTCACATCAATACTATACCTCACCTGTGCTTTTTCTGTGAGGATTATCTTCACAGTTGATGGATAAGTTATAATTTCTCATTTTACAACTATTTTGTTGACTAGGTTTTTGTGATTACAAAAAATTCCTGAAGCAGCTCCATGCATACAGGTAAGTGTGTGTACATACGTATGTCAAGTGAATATACATGAAAGATACATGGCTACACATTGTCCTGCCAAACTGTACTTTTAAAATTCAGGTCAAATTAAAGATCAGAAGAGTTGTGCCATTTTATATTCTCCCCAACAGTATAAGGAAATACTACTGTTACTTGTTTCTATGAATCAAAAATATTCACAATAAAGGTAGCCCTATTTTTACTAATTCTTTTCTGTGACAGTGTCTCATTTGTAATATTTTTTGAATGTGGTCAAGCAACTTTGTATTTATATTTCTATTAAAAACTTTATATCTATTGCCATTTTATTATTTTTATTATGACTTGGGAATTTGTTGTATACTTAAGAAATTTTTTGGGTTTTTGAGACATGGTCTCACTGTTTAGTTCTGGCTGGCCATTAACTCTTTTTGTAGTCCAGGTTGGCCCCGAACCTGTGGTGACGCCCCTGCCTCAGCCTCCTGGGTGCTGAGATTACAGGTGTGTGCCACCACACTTGGCTCTATAGTTAGGAAACTAATGTGTTACGGTTATTGATTTTTCTTAGTTTGTCTTTTGTATTTTAGTGTATGTGCTACCAAAGTGTGCACTGTCATTTTGTTTATATATTCACTTCTTTTCTTTTCTTTTTTTTTTTTTGTCTTTTTCGTTTTTATCGGTACCGGGGATCGAACTCACGACTGCCTGCTTGCAAGGCAGGCGCTTATGCCGCTGAGCTAAATCCCCAGCCCCATATTCACTTATTTTCAAGGTGGTAAATTTTAATCACAAAGCCAAACTTGTCTGGAGTTTTTTCTTTATGCATTGTTTTGTGTCTGACTTAGGTCTTGTTTTCTGGGCATGGTGGTTTGATGGTTAAGAAACTGAGGCTTTGCAAGGGTATGTACATCATAGGAGACCATGTAAGGCTGGTATGGATGGCCCTATCTTACAATGATTCTTTTTTCAGTATTTTTTTCTTTAGGGTAGTGCTGTATTTCGGACTAGCTTTCTTTCCCCAGGCTAGCAGTACACAGAAGGATCCTCTCCCATGATGCTGGGCAGCCCCAGCAGCTGTAGCTCCAACAGCCACACAGTCACTGCACTGTGTGACTAAGATGTGCCAAAGGTTAGGCCCATTGAGGACATCTGTATGGCAGAGCTGGGTTTCAAACCAAGCACAATTCCAGATGCTGCTTTGTATCATATTATGCCTGCATGAAAGATGGCTGTAGAAAATCAGATGACATAGGCCTTTCTTTTTATTTCACAGTGCTAGCAGCTCTATAATGTATGGGCAGGAGACAGCGAAGGAGCCTAAGGTCAGCAATGTGGTTTAAAGCTACGGGTGGTGGAGGAGGTGTGCAGTGGGCGCTGCTGTGAAGCCACTATTAGGAAGCAGCTCTGCCTTCATGAAGAGTTCAGGGTTACTCAGACTGTTGTGGAACTGTGGCTGGGGAACAGACTGAGAAGGCAGTAACCTCTGCACCATCTCCTGGAGCTCAGTCTCATTCACTCTTCCCTGCACCCCTGTTCCTCCCGATGTACTTGCTTGCTTGACTCTTAACACCCACGCTGGCCCGGAGACAACTCTAGCATTTACACCCAAACTCTAGTCTTTGTTTAAACCTGAAATTTGTTACAAGTGAGTCAAAAACTAAACATCATCTTAGTCCTCCTTCCATACTCACAAGTACAGCACATGTCATGGGAGAGAAAAGCAACCAAATTAGGTGTCTGGAGACTCTTTCAAAAGCACATGTAAACCAGGTGTGGTGGTGCAAACCTAAGCAATCGGAAGGCTTGAAGCAAGAGGATAGTGGTGAGTTGGAGGCCAGCCTGAACAATATAGCAAAACCTTGTCCGCCCACAAAAGCACACCTGAAAGCAACTGTGGTGGCCTCACAGCCTGCTCTGCATGACAGGCAGCAGCTGAGTGCGTTTGGCAGCACTCCATGCAGGAACCACTGTTCAAGTCCCTCAGCTTTTGCTTACTCTACACACATAGGAAGCCTGGCTTCCCAAAACAGCAGGTCCCACCATCAAGCAAGCCCCTAAGGGAGGCAGTTCCCAATGTGTGGCCTAATACACAGGCTCTTCAATCTGTGTGTGCAGAACAGAGGGATGGCCCGGCTCCAGCACACACACACATTTCAGAGAATTCGGAAGTAGGCATTCTAGAACCAGTTTGTGCTTTTCAGTGACTTTCTTCGGCATTTAGATTCCAATTCTAATGTCTCACCAGGATTGACCTTAGCTGCTGGTGACTGATTTGATGCCCTCCCCGTTAGTATGCTGAATCTCGTTTCATTAGCCATGATTCTTGTTTCAGTCATTTGACCTTTTCTTTTACGAATTAGATTTTTAGTGTTTACGATGTCTATGAAGCTCATCTTGGGGAACTGGTACATACACATACTGCGTCTTTATCATTTCTATTTCCCTTTCCCCATCCCTACCCTCTGCCCTCCCTCCTTCCCCAGAGCCTCATCCATTTCTAGTCCACTTCCCTGCTTTCTACCATTTCTATTTTAGCTTTTAAATTACATATAGTTTGGGTTTCTCCTGGGCCACCAAAACCATGTGATAGTTAACTTTCTATTTCTGATTAACTTTATTATGGTCTCAGGAGCTATCTATTTTCCTACAGATGATTCAATTTTATCGTTCTTCATGGCTAAGTGGTACTCCATTGTGTATAGATAGTACTGCGCTCCCCACCCCAGTTCAGGCTGGACTCAGATTCATAGTGAATCTTCTTGCCTCAGCCTCCCAAGTACTGGGATCACAGGTGTGTACCACCACACCAGTCTACGCGGCACGTTTTTTAATCCATTCATCCTGTGGAACATATAAGCTACTTCCATAATTTAACTATTATGAACTGTGCTGCTATAAACATAGGTATCCTGTATCATTGTAATGCAATGACTTTTAACTCTCAGGAAGATACCCAAAGAGATACGGCTGGGTTGAATGGACTTTGTATTTGCAGATTTTGAGGACTCGCTCAGGTTTTCCAGGACCTAGGACCTCTAACCATTATTTTCTTTGCATACCCCACACTCTACCGTCCCTTCTTCCAGGCCCTAAACCCACCCTGGTAAAAGCACCTGCTCAACCCAGTGCTTGGTTTCCACATCAAGCAGCTCCCCGTCCAGTCCCAGCGCTTTCTCCCCAAGTGCTTTAGCATATTCACACTGTGTCACGGCATTTCCCGTGCACATTTTTTGACTGATTCAATTTTGTTAACTAAGGCCATTGGATGGCAAAATTTAAAGCTAATTTATTACAGATGTGGGTCTGTCTTGTTCTTGAGATAACTTTAATGAAAAGCGATAAAAACATAACACAAGTTGAGAGTTCCTTATCTAAAATGCTTGGTTTGAAAGATCTCCATATCCATAATGAGATATCATCAAGATCTGCTTACCCAAGTATGAATGTAAAATTCATTTATGCTCTATATGCCTTGCACACATACCCTAAAGAGGAGTTTATACAGTACTCTTAGTGCAGCTCACTTGTAATCCTCTTACTTCAGTGCTGGGATTACAGACATGCACCACTGTGCCAGCTTACTTTTCTTTGAATAGCAGGAGCTCGAGTGATGATGTGCTTTGTCATAGAAGTCAACACAAAAGTTAAAAACATGTAGGAAGTCAAAAAATATTAGTGGAATGGAAGCTGCTTTTCCAAACATTTTCAAAAGACTGTTTTATTTTAAAAGATACACACACAGAGTGGGACACAAACGCTGAGAACTCTCATGGCTGGAAGATTACCCTGATGGCTCACACTGATCAATTCCTCTGCTCGTCCACAATTCAAGAAGTCTTGCAGAGCACAAGATGTGTCTCTTCCATTATGTCCTTGTTTGCAGCAGGGAGTCTTTTGTAACAATAATTATGTACCCTAACTTTCCGTAACTGCTTGGTGATTTTTAAAGTTTTGCAGTGACCAGTTTTCCTATTGGTGTTTTACAACCTAAGACAAACAAAGAAATAGCTCAAGAAATGGTGCTGATTTTGTTCTTCTTTGTGCAATTCCCTTAAGCATGCTTCACAGAACTTTGTAGGCTGATCAGCACCAGTGGGCACGCTGGTCCACCACCCGGGAACAGCCAATGTGCAGAGACACAGGCGTAGCCACCACAGGACCGGCAGTGCAGAACCAGGAGCCAACTGCTGCTGTGCTTCTGCACCTGAAGTCCAGTGTGTTCTAGTAAATTCATACCCTCATCTGCTCGCCACCATGAATAAGCTAATTCTGTCACTCTTGGTGAATTAACGGTGGTGAGCCATGTACCCCTAACTACCAAATCCGAAGTTGGCTTTTAGATTTCATACTCAGACTTCAGGCATGATATAAATGGAAAGCTGGGATTTTGACCTACATTTTCTTTCACAAGGTCTCATACTCCACGCCCACATCAGTGATACGACTGCCCCCCTTGCCTTCCTCTTTGACCATTCTCTTTCCTCCATATTCCGAGTCCTGGTTTTCCCACTCTTATGGACACCTACCCAAAGCTGCTTTGACAAATGTCCTGAATTAAGTTTAGGTGCAAAAATATTAATTGTACAAATATCCAGATAATCATTTGTTTTAAGTAGTAACATCTTCCCCTCCTAAAATAATCCAATCATTCCTACAGGAAGTGTTCTTCACTTCCTCTGACCATTCATCTCTCTGTTCATGTCAAGGACTTCACTCCCATGTACACAAAACAAATGGCTTGCCTTTCTGGGACTGAGTGATTTCTTATAGGCTGACAGGGTCTAGGTAAAACTATTCCCCCAAAGATGTGCTATAAGCCTAATAAATTCTGAGTTCAGAAGGGCTGTGTGACACAACTCTGATCCCAATTCCTCACACAGAAGACAGGAGACCCAAAAATGGAGACAGAAGGGCAGGAATCAGCAGCAGAATGATAGCAACCTCACCATGACCAGAGGAAAGGTCCTGGCTCCCACCAGTGATGTCAAGAACTGAGTCTGTTTTGCACCACACTCCTTGCTTTGGGCTTGTTGGTTAATTTTCCTTGAAGTTTCTATCTGGCTCATTCTGGAAATTCTAGACTATCTTAACAGCCTTGTTTCTATCAGAATTCTACTGCTTGTTTTGATAAAGTATTTGGAGCTAGGGTTTTCTTTCCCATTTTAATACACACTCATAAACATAGGTGAAAAGTCTTCACATTTTATTAAACCACACACTTACCAAG